CATCCTCTTCCCTTTCTCTACTATTGTTAGTGGCACCTGTTGGAAATCAGGGAAAAGTGATGGATGACTCATCCATGGCCAAAAACATCCTATCGCCACTCGAAAGTCAGGTATGACATATTCCATCAAATTTTACATATTGTTGTAAATATGATGAGCAGCTTTGTGCTTCGGTGGCATTGAAAATACTTGGGTGGTCTAATTAAAGTTTGAGCATACACTAGAGATTTTGAATTTTGTCTCTTCTCCTTGTACCGATGTATTTGGTGTTTTGTATTTCAGAATGCTCGAAGGACTAGGAGATGGAAAGTCTTTTGAGTTTTTTATTTTCTAAAACAGAAAGCTACAATACACCTCCTAGGAAGATTGGTATGTGTATTTAGTTTGTGCTAGAATTATGGGGTAAAATATCCACATTATCGGCCATATATTTGCAGTAGATTCACATTTCAACTACATATGTTTTTCCTATTTTGTTGTTTCTAACTCTATTGTTCTTGCAAGGTGATATTGATAGTATTTGTTGATATATCATTTGTTTGGTTGCTTTTCATATTTTTGAGAAGTGACCTTCGTACTTTGATATGCCTATATTTTTGTTAGAAAATGAATGGATTTTGCCTTAAATAGAAGCCACTATCTGTTAAATGCTGACATGATGAGGTCGATTAGAAGTCAAATGATGGGATCATCAAGTCGTGTCCTCTGCATTCTTTTGGTGTTTGAAACCTAGGTTGTATTGGTTTTGTCAAACCTGAGGCCAAGAATTGGCCTCTTATCTAGCTAGGTTGGTGATGTCATAAAAAGGACTTTTCCATCAATTAGGTTCCCAAATTGAGATCTTACCACCAGTGCAACTCTTATATTACTCATCATAGGCTCAAAAGGAACATCAAATTAAGCTTGATACTGGTACCAAGGTCAAGGAGGCAAATGGAAGGTCCGGTATCATAACAAAGAAAGATGCAAGGCTAGCAACCAATGTTCTCCCCAAACTCCTTGTTGTAAAGTTACAAATAGTTTACTACTACTCCTCTGGCATGGCCCTATTTTTTGGTCATCAAGGATATCAATCCCACTGAAAATGTTGGGAGTTGGGATATGCAGAGGGATTTACTGTATAGTTAGTTAAAGGGAGAGGGAGACCAAACAACTTCTGCCCAAGTTTTTGTTGGAGTACATTGACCCTTAAAATCCTATTCTCATGTCTTTTAGACTTGAAACTTTGACTGTGGCCAGTAATAAAGAGAAACCGTTAATAATGTCTTTTTGAAATCTATATTTACAATTGAGTGGGGCTTTTATCTGCACAATATCTGGTTCGTCTGTGAAAAGTTTCTTATGCTTGTGTTGTAAGAATTTTTCTCTTTTTGGAAGTTCTATCTTTTGATATAGTTTGGATTTTTTACAGGTTGCTTTCAGGACGAAGGTTTTTCACCCTAATATTAACAACAATGGAAGCATTTGTCTTGATATTTTGAAGCAACATTGGAGCCCTGCCTTTACTATTTCCAAGGTGATGGTTATATTTGGTATTTCGACTACTGCAAAATATTTCTTACAAGTGGAATTACATTTGGAAAATGGAAAATAAATAGCTTGATTTTTTTGCTTCCATATTGGATTGCTGTATTTATTAGAATTTGCTTGGATTTGAGTATAAATAAGATGTATGAATGTTGCTTGGATCTTATGGGTTATGCATTCAATAATGGTTTGAGGTATTTATTGGTTTAGGTTCACCACACGAAATGGTTTCAACTTGTTAGTGGGAAAATGGATTTATATTTGTTAATTTTGTAGGAAAGACATGTATGTCTCAGTTCAATATTCGAAATTAAGCCACTTTTCCATGCGAAACACTTTTGTTTTTTTTTTGGCGTCTCTTGATTAGCGGCTATGAAACATGGATATAAATACGGGGATGATATGACAAAATCTAAAAAAATTGGATACAAATATGACTAAGATACACCTATAGTAAAATATATATTTCATATTTTTACTATTATTTACCGTCTTATTAATTATACGTTGGTTAATTTTTAACGTTGATTTGGGTAATATCGTAGCTGCTGCAAGGATTGTTGGGAAGAAGGTTAATGCACTTCTTCGTATCAATACAGATGTGGATCCTCAGGTGTGTAGCTGCCACACCAAATCCATATGATGCAATAATGTAACCTTATGTGACTTTCCGTTATCTTGATATTAAGAAGGGAAGCTGTTGTGATGGGTATATTGGCATTTTGTAAATGGTTGATAACAAAAAATATGAGAAAAATCTAATCAATAGTAATCACGTTGATGGATGATTTTTGAATCTCCCGAAGTTATTAATTATTATAGGATCATCTATACTTTCATTATTGCCTTCAGTCATGTTAAGTCAGAGTTAAATTGAAAAACCACATTAATTTCCCATGGTTTCAAGGATACATCAGCTAATGAGATACTTGGGGTGTGACATTCTTGGGAGAAAAATCATGGTGAGCATTAGAAACTAGAAAGCCTTTCTAGCAGAATTCTTTTTTTTGGCTTTTACCTCATAAGTTCAGTCCAGCCAGTGATCTGGAAGCATACCATTGCTGTAAATCACCATTGTCACAACCCAGCGCCACCCCCCTCAACACCTGCTGCACATAACATAACCTACCATGTAGTTAATCACCTTGGCATTGCACATCCATTCCTTGCTCAAACGGCCCTACCCCACCTCACCCTACTTAAACAACCAATGGGTTCCATTGCACATCCATCACCTCCAGTGTGAGGTTTCAATTCTTTGAAATAAGGAGGTCCTTGATCCAATCAATGTACATCCTGGCCATTTGCACTTTTTTTAGTTTTGGCTTCCCACAAATTTCTTGTTGGAATTATTCGATATTGTACAAAAGATTAGCAAAACATTCAAGTCTCATGGCTTTGACGTTTAATTTTTCATTGTCTGCATGTGTATATTAGGTTCATCCTTATGTTGCCACCGGTAACAAGAACTCCAAATTTGGTATCAGAAATGAGAAGTTGCAATGGTTTCTAGATGTTGTGAAGGCATATTCTAATGAATCGAAGCTTGTGGGGGCCCATTGTCATATTGGTTCTACCATTACCAAGGTATTATACCAAAACACTGTTTTCTACTTTTCATTTTTCCAATCAACTTTAAAAAGATTTGTATATCAAAACAATATTTTCTACAGTTCATTTTTCTTATGCAATTGAAAAACTAATATTTGAATTTTGCAGAATTTTGTGCCTTGGGCTGAAATTTTTGTTGTGACATTGTTGAATGTGTATGCATGCATAGAGAAGTACCCAAGCAATATGAAATGTTATTTACTAAGAATGATTTGCCATTTTTGCGTATTCTGCATGTGGTGGTTTTCCACCATTTTATTTTTTAATTTTTTAGGGGTTGGGGTGGATTTGATTAATATTCTCTATAATGCTGATTATGATGAACTCTAGAAACTTGCGATTGCTAAAACTCTGATGCAGCGAGCTGTCAACTCTTGTTTGTGGACAGTTCCTTGCTATCCTTTGGTCATCCTTTCATTTTTTACCCATTTTTCTTTCTTATTTTTTTCTCCTCTATATTGATTCTCCACCAGTTCATCTCTCTTTCTGAGTTTATGCATCTTTATAATTTTGATCATCAACATTCTGAAATTTTTTACTTTAATGGAATATGTATGTTTATCACAATCTTTATTCTCAATAATATAATGCTTTTTTTTTCGTGTGTGTGTGTGTTCTACACAAACCTAAAGGTACTATTTTTCTCTCCAGGTAGACATTTTCAAAGATGCTGCGGTAATAATGGTGACCTACGTTGACCAAATTCGAGCCCAAGGCTTTGAAATTGATTACTTTAACATAGGAGGTGGTCTGGGGATTGATTATTATCATACTGGAGCCATCCTTCCCACCCCTAGAGATCTTATTGACACTGTAAGAACCCTGATTTCAATTGTGGCATATAGTCGTATGTGAATCATGGGGCACAGCAAATATGGTTGTTATTCACTTGCAGCTAGTCTTATTCTGCACTACCTTCATGCAGCTAGCCTTATTCTGCACTACCTTTGTAGGGGAGAGTTCCTTGATATATCAAGGACATCTACTAACTTTTGTGATTTCTGGAGGTGTGATGTCTGATATTCTAAAATGTTCCCAAAATTACCATACCACTTCCAATCACTACAACTTAGTACGTTTATAGAATAGTATGCTACCATAAACAACCATCAACTGCTGTCTCTGTTATATCACTTCTTCCATATTTCCTGTTAGTATTTAGTAATGATATTATTACTTGATATCACCATTTGGTAACTATGAAGATCATGACGCTGAATCGCGTACAATAAACGGTTGCTATGAGTATGTCTTATTACTGGCCAATAGACTCATTGACAAATGGTAATAAACTTTTGGACATTGTGGTGCTTAATTGAAATTGTTGTGTTTCTCTGGGTTTGCTCAGCATTAACAGAAGTGCTTATATGGCTATTGAATTCTTGCCTCCTAATGGGGTTTGATATTAAGAAAATCAGCAGCATTGGTACTTTGGACCATGTGAAGGTGCTATTAACATTTTTTATGAGTGTTTGCTGTAGGTCAGAGAGCTGGTGCTTTCACGTAATCTCAATCTCATCATGAACCTGGGAGATCACTTATTGCAAATACTTGCTGTTTAGTTAATCGTGTCACTGGAGTCAAAACAAATGGGACAAAAAATTTCATTGTGATCGATGGCAGCATGTCAGAACTTATCCGCCCTAGTCTCTATGGTGCTTATCAAGTAAGTTTCTAATACATAAGCTACTCTGTGAATTTGCCTTTGTGGATCAAAACATTGTTGTCAGACAATCCAAGCCCTGCTCCTTCTTTCTGTCATATGCAAAATCAAATTTGCGTCATAGACCCTTCTTTTTTAATCACTGTGGATTTTTTGCGTTGCAATTAAATGTGTGTATTGGAATAGAAGTCTAATAATTTTCCTTGCAATTGATCTAGTAGTCAGTAAATTACTTTTGACTAACTATTTGTGATGACTGCTACCTTAACATGTGAAGAGGCCTTTCTAGTGCAATGCGAAATCCCATTACAATAAATTGCTCCAGTTGTGAACAACAGGAATAGTAGTTATTATTCCCTTGCAAGTTTGTATATCTAGTCTAATTAACCCTCCCTGTTTTCTCTCGCTTGCACGTAATCATTATGTTCTTGTCATAAACTCTTTTAGCTCTTGGTCATTGTTTGACTTTTGAATGCAGCACATAGAGCTGGTTTCTCCTTCACAACCTGATGATGAGATTTCTACTTTTGATGTTGTGGGTCCGGTCTTCTAATAGAGAGAATCAGTTGTTCTCAACTGCTTGACTTATTCCTTCATAGCAGATTGTATTATTCAAATGTATTTAGCTGTCTTCCATAGATATAGGATTCAGTTTGTAACAACTTCCTAGTTTGTAGGATCTTCAACCATTCTTAGTTATTTCCCTGGTGTATTTATACGATTGATTAGCCAATAATAGAATTATCAGTTTTGTTATTCTCTCATGGTATCAGAGTAAAACCAGAGATAACATATTCCAATATTTTTTTTTTTTCTCTCCTTCCCCTCCTTTCTTTAATCTCAAACAGCCATGGGTAACTCTTCACCCTTCATTCTCAACACCAATGAATCCCACAACACCCTTATCAGCATAAATGTTGTTGCCCAAACCCCTCTAAAACTCACTTCCAGCAACTACCTCTCCTGGAAACTGCAATTTCACACTCTCTTCATTGGCTATGATCTCTTGGGCTATGTCGATGGCTCAAAGCCATGTCCCTCAGCCACTCTCACACAAAATGACACAAGTAGATCAAACCCTGCTCACATCCTCTGGATCCGATTGGACCAGTTAATCTTGAATGCCATCACAGGCTCCATCCACCCCACTATCATACCATTCATTGCACAAGCCTAGACCGCTCGCGAAGCATGGACTATCTTGGCCAACACCTACGCCACGCCTTCTTGTGGACGCATCAAACAGGCCAAAAGCCAACTCAAGATGATCACCAAAGGCTCTGAAAGTGTCATAGCGTTCCTGCAATCCATAAAGGCCAAAGCTGATGAGCTTGCCCTTCTTGGAGCACACCACTAGATGCAGAAGATCTCATCGACAAGATACTTGATGGACTTGGCGATGAATACAAAGAACTAACATGTGCTGTCCAACCCAGTGACACGCCTATAACCTTTGAGGAACTACATGAAAAATTGCTCAATTTTGAAGCTTCGGTGATCACCACAAAACCAGACCCCTTCAGTTTCCTACCACTGCTAATCCCACGACTAGGAATCTAACAACTTGGCGCTCACCTGCACCTTCAGGCACCAAAAATCATTCATGGCGTCCCTCCAACAGCCACCAAAATTGGTATCCTACTACACAAAACAGCGGGCAACTCACAACTCAAGGAATTCGCCCATCTCGGCCATACCTGGGTTATTGCCAAATCTGCATAATACAAGGTCATACAGCAAAACGGTGTCCTTCATTTCGGCTAGTCCCAGTTAACACATCCAACAGTACTTCCCCTGCTTCGAACAATCACTCTGCTACCCCATGGCAACCAAGGGCTCATTATGCTACTAACAATCCCAGTCATACATCTTGGCTCCTGGACAGTGGAGCCTCTCACCATGTTACAGCTGATCTAAACAATCTCTCCATGCATGCTCCATACAATGGCTCGGATGACATTATGATCGGCGATGGCTCGGGTCTCTCCATTACACATACAGGTTCTTCCTCTCTCAACACAACTCATAACACTTTTCAATTGAACAATGTCCTCTGTGTTTCTGCTATGAAAAAAAATCTCATTTCAATTTCTCAATTTTGTACCTCAAATAATGTCTCCATTGAATTCTTCCCGACTGCTTTTCTTGTAAAGGACATTCACAAGTAGGCAACACTTCTAAAGGGCCAAACTAAAGATGGTGTCTATGAGTGGCCGGTATCTCCACCGTTGCTTGCTTTTTCCAGCATCAAAACAACCTTATCTGAGTGGCATCAAAGATTAGGACACCTAGCTTTCCCCATTTTGAAACAGATTGTTTCCAACAATAAACTCGATGTCTCTTCTTTATTATTGTCTAATTTTTCATGTAATGCTTGTCTAAGTAATAAAAGCCACAAATTGTCATTCTCTCAATCCACAATTATCTCTTCTCAACCCCTTGAAACTGGCTTTTCTGATGTTTGGACTTCTCCAATTATATCAAATAATGGATTTAAATATTATGTCATTTTTGTAGATCATTTCACCAGATATATTTGGTTCTATCCTCTTAAACTAAAGTCAGAAATCAAAGATATTTTTATTAGATTTAAAGCCATTTTTGAAAAACACTTTGATAAAACAATCAAAATACTTTATTCTGACAATGGTGGTGAATATATTGCACTTGCCCATTTTCTTTCGACGGTATTTATCATCTCACTACACTACCTCACACACATGAACACAATGGTCTTTCTGAACGAAGACATCTTCACATTGTAGAGACTGGATTAGCATTACTCTCTCATGCCTCTCTTCCTTCAAGTTATTGGACTTGTGCCTTCGCCACAACAGTTTATTTAATAAATCGCATGCCAACACCCACACTAAACCTCTCCTCTCCATTTGAAATTTTTTTTACAACAGCTCCTAATTACTCAAAACTCAAAATTTTTGGCTGTTTATGCTATCCCTGGCTCAGACTATATGCAACCAACAAACTAGACACTCGATCCAAACCATGTGTCTTCCTTGGATACTATTTAACTCAGAGTGCTTATTACTGCCTTGATCCATCCATATCCAAAATATATGTATCTAGGCATGTTAGATTTGTTGAGTCTGTATTTCCCTTCAGTCATCTCTCTACTCCTCTTCTCCTCAATCAGACTCCATTGCTACTTGGATTCCTCCACCACTTCGAATTCCCACCTTGCCTTTGGTACCACCACTCAATCCGTCATCTGCAGTGGAAGCTCAATAGCAATTCCCCAATGAAGCTTCACAACCACTAGACCTGGCCGACACACCTATTCTACCACCATCACATGAACCTTCAAATAACAACAATCCCCAGCAACCATCACCACAAATAAACCCACCCGAGCCTCAGCCACAACCCACCCACACCATGACTACTAGAGCAAAAAACAATATTCGCAAACCAATCACCAAAATGAATCTTCACACCCAATTAACCAAAGGTGATGCCCTTGAACCAACCACATTGACCCATGCTCTCAAAGATCATAAATGGCGTCAAGCCATATCTGAAGAGTATGATGCTTTAGTAAAGAACGGCACATGGACACTAGTTCCCCCGGATAGCAGTCAAAATCTAGTTGGATGTAAGTGGATTTATAGAACTAAATGCAAATCAGATGGTTCTGTTGACAGGTTCAAGGCCCGATTGGTTGCAACGCCCGATAGCTGTAAGCCATGGCTGGTCCTTAAGGCAACTTGATGTAAACAATGCCTTTCTTCAAGGTCATCTATCAGATAATGTATACATGTCACAGCCACCAAGATTTGTTGATAAAGACAACCCCTCATATGTTTGCAAACTCAGAAAAGCAATATACGGCCTAAAACAAGTCCCTCGGGCATGGTTCCATGAGCTCCGAACATTTCTTCTACAGTTTGGTTTTCAGAATTCATATGCTGATACTTCCCTCTTTGTCTTTCATGCTGATGGCCACACTATGTATCTCCTTGTTTATGTTGATGATTTAATGCTCACAGGAGACAATGCTACCAAAGTTAATCATTTCATTGCTATTCTTGCTCAACGATTTTCCATCAAAGACCTTGGTTTACTAACTTACTTTCTGGGTGTCAAAGTTGTCCCAAACAAACATGGCTTGTTACTGTCACAAAGGTGATATATTATGGATGTCCTCACTCAAACCAAGATGCAAGACACCAAGACTGTTCTTACTCCCATACCAACCAGTCCGCCTCTCATGTCAACCTCAGGTTCTTCTCTGTCTGATCCAGTTGAGTATCGTCGAGTAGTTGGGAGCCTCCAATATTTGCTAATAACAAGACCAGACATCGCCTTTGCTGTTAACAAACTGTCCCAATATATGCACGCCCAACAACTGAACATTGGTCCTTTGTCAAACGGCTACTACGTTATCTTGTTGGAACCATTGATGATGGCTTACAACTCTACCATGACTCTACTCTCAGTTTGCATGCTTTCTCAGACTCTTCTCTCAGTTTACAAGTTTTCTTTGACACTGATTGGGCATAGGACAAGGACACTTTTTGCTCAACCAGTGCTTATGTTGTTTATCTTGGTAAAAATCCGACATCCTAGAGTTCTAAAAAGCAACGGACTGTTGCTAGATCCTCCACTGAGGCAGAGTATCGCTCAGTTGCCCATACAACTGCTGAACTTAATTTCATCTGTTATCTCTTGACTGATCTTGGTATTTCTCATCCCTACTGCCCTGTCATTTATTGTGATAAATATTGGGGCAACTCAGCTCTGTTCCAATCCAATTTTCATTCCCGAATAAAGCATGGTGCTATAGATTTTCATTTTATCCGGGATCATGTTCAAAATGGTGCTTTTCTTGTTGCTCATGTCTCTTCTGAAGATCAACTTGCTGATGCTCTTACCAAGCCACTTACACGACAACGTTTTCTTCAACTCAAGCACAAGATTGGACTTCTCTCCTGAGCTCCATCTTGAGGGGGCATAATAGAGAGAAGCAGTTGTTCTCAACTGCTTGACTTATTCCTTTATAGCAGATTATATTATTCAAATGTATTTAGTTGTCTTCCATAGATATAGGATTCAGTTTGTAACAACTTCCTAGTTTGTAGGATCTTCAACCATTGTTGGTTATTTCCCTGGTGTATTTATACGATTGATTAGTCAATAATAGAAATATCAGTTTTGTTATTCTCTCATCTTCGAGTCGGCAGATTTCTTGGGAAAGGATAGGGAACTTCCAACACCTCCTAGGGTAACATGTTGTGCTTCTTTATGGTGATAGTGTCATCCATACGCGCATATTGATTTTAGGAATTCTAAATTTTCTTGAACCCATTTTGGCAATACCTATGCTCGTAAAATACAAACTTTGTGTCTTTCCAAGTCATACACACAATTGGTGTTGATGTTACTAATAATGTGTATAGGATATGCATAGTTGAAAAACCAAATGAAGCCAGCAAGGTGATGATTATCGAGTAGTATTGAACACAACCTCTGGTCAACTCAGATCAAAAGAAAAGTTGGTACTACAAATCCATATTTGTTCTGACCTTCAGAAGATTCACAGTATTAAGACCAGAAGGACAACTTTTGCACTCCTGTTTTTCTGATACAGAAACAACTTCCACGAGTCCATCCTCCATTACTATCCTTTGAAACATCTCAGCAACCTGATATAGTAAAAATTATAAGAAATATGCATGTTGGGAAAATGTTAAATCAAAATCCTTCCCAAAATTAAAAAAGCGGAGAGGACCTCACATCTGAGTCAAACAACCTGTTACGCTCCCATTCCAGTTTAAGTTCATACCCACTAAGTATTATATAAGGATACAAAGCCCAAAACTTTTCAGGCTTGAATGTTGCAATTTGCAGGTAGCGTTGGACACAAAATCCAAGGGTAGGAGTTTGCATGGGCAAAGTACATACCCCCACTTTTAGCCTTGAAGCAGGCCTTCCAATTTCCAACATAATGAGAACCCATTTTTTTACCAGTCACTCAATCTAAGAAGGAAGAAGAAGAAGAGAGACTACTACGAGACAATAACTTACCTGTACCTACCTCGAAAATCTCTCCACCCCCTTCTCTTCTCTTCTCTTCCTCTTCATGTTTCTCCAGGTAACTGTAGACACTGGTCTTTAAGGTTATGAGTTCTGTTAGGGTTCTGTAAACTTATGTGGTTGCTTGTGAAACTGAAATTTTTTGGTAATTGAGCTCGGAAACATATTAATCCTGTTTGGTTGCTCGTGAAACTGAAACGTTTGGTAATGTAGATCGGAAGTAGATTAATTCTTGTGACCGACGCTTCTAGGACACTTGCATACTTCTCTACACATGGTTTGTGTAACACAAACACTCTGAATATAATTTATGTGCAGCACAATCGGAATGAGGATACCCCAAAGTGTTCAACCCCTCGTAGTTTATTGGAATAAAATAATGCAAGACGCAATTATAAGCAACCAAAGTTACTAATAGTAGCCATGACGTATATGCATACCTATATAATAAAATTGTTGAAATTTGTTCTCCTCGATATCAAGTTTTTACGTTTCAGTTAATGAGTCAGATTGATGTTTGTCTTCCATACATAGATGCTGCTTCATTGTGATTTGAACCTTATGGGTACTAGTCACAGAAACAACCTTTCTGCGCATATAACGAATCTACATGTCTTGTTGTGTGTTTGTTGTACCCAAGGATCAAAATATCGTTTCGAAACGGTCGAAACGTCCAAAACGTTTCCGTTTCCAAGGAGACCGAAATGAAATAATGATGGAATCGAAATTCTGATATTTCGAGATATTCCATAATGTTTTTAAATGTATTATAATATTTTAATGCATTTGTACAATTGTTTGGAATGTTTCAAAATATTTCAAGATATTTTGATATATTTCCATCAATGTTTTAGAAAAATAATTGTTAAATTTTTTATTTTTTCATTATGTTTGCGAAACGGGTCGAAACGTTTACGAAACACATCGAAACGTTTCCATTTCCTAGGTGACCGAAACAATACACCGAAACGATATTTTGATCCTTGGTTGTACCTAAGTCTTACTTTTCTATGATTTATCATCTTCATTCCGTATTGTTGTAGGTTTCTATGCCACTTAGTTTTTTTGGGATGACTTTATTTTTGGAATCAATAGTTTGGTAGGATGCTAGAATCATGTTGCAAGAATATGCTGGACAGCAATCTTCTGAGTATTGCTAGTAGAGGGAGCGGTAATCGGGTAAGGAATGGCGTAGGGTTATAGTCTTATAGAGGTGGGATTATACACTGAAAAACTAGAAAACCCAAAGATATGATCGCCTGATCATTGATAGGTTGGGGAAATCTGCTTGAAGTAATAAAAGAGAAGAAGAAAAAGAAATAGTTTAGTCAACAGCGCCACACCTAGGATGATTCTATTGCCATTATAGCTTTTAGAAGTGCATCACACTAGAACAAAACTGCTCCAGAAGCTTTTGAAGATCCTCTGGACTTACTCTTCATTGAATATAAGGAATTGCAGTGCTCTATATGGACTTCTAGCTGATTTTACCAAACCTATACAATTGACTAATCAAAGTCCCTCTATAATGATCCAATACCGTAATTTGACTGAAATTAACTGACCACGAACTACTATTGTAGCCGATTCTCACTAATCTGGGAAATTTAAGCTTGTCATGCACTGAAAAACTCTAAGGAAACTTGTATAACCTTGTACCTGAAGCAAAGTAAGTTGAATAAACCACAAAATAAGGCTCTGCTAAGGTGACAACTTGCCAAAGTGATTCTTTTTGAATTTACTTTTTCTTAAGCTTATGGGCTACATCAATATTCGTTCTAAAGTCCAAGGAAAATGTTGATTAAGAGTGATTTCATAAGAACTCATACGTTCAACGCAGCTTGGAAGTTACTGCTGGTATTGTGGCCATTTCACTCGCATGATCTTGGACGTTTAGTCTAGAAGGACCTTAAATTTACTGTACAGGGCTGAGTACTCAGCTATAGATGCAACTGCAACTGAACGGTTCATCGTGCATTTTTAGCCTCTTATCCTTTTTGCGTAGAAAGTTCTTGTGCGTATTGGTGATTCTTATTTTTTTTCCTTCTGTTATTCAAGTTTACTTATTTCCTTTTAGTTGAAGGATCCCTTGTCCCTGCATATAGTTAGATGAGAGGCCATTGGAGCTTATGCAGAAAGCACTGGAGAATGATTGTAAATTAGTTTTCTTTTAGTAACTATGTTTCATGTACTTGCTGTGGCTCCAGATAAACAATTTGGGTAGCTTTCTTATGATATCTATCATAAGTTTATGGAACAGCCAAATAGAACCTTATTAGGATTGATGGATGGTTGACACGACAGAATCAACTCTTTATTCAACAAATGCAATGTCTCTTGCTGCCCCAAATTTTCGGCATTTATTTTTTTAGGTCAAGGTAAGATTGCGTATACCCTCCCCAGTCCCAGACTAGAGACTTGTGCACTGGGCAGCCCATAATATCTTTTTAAGTTCACTTAATGGCCATACTGGATCATTTTGACCATCTAGTACTAGATGCTGCCATTTCAAAAATTCATTATGGTAGTGTTTTTATAGGGTGATTGTCCTTCTAATGTTTTGAGTAATGGATTTTATTTTTATCTGATTGTTTTTTGTTATTCGCTAAGGTACATTATAGGTTTTCCTATAGCTGCAGTTTCCTAATTTTGCTGCATTATCTGGAAGCTCGATGGATCGGCAGGCTCATGACTATGCAGCTGCTATGGCATTTTCCCAACAACAGCAACAAGCTGCTAATATCCAACAGCAGCAACAATTTGGTTTTCATCCACCACAACGCAATTCCCCCCATCAGTTCCTGGTCCTTTTCTACCCCCACATCCCTCTCTACAACAGTTTCCATTCCATCGTTCGATGCAGCAGCCACAACTCCAACCCCTTCCTCCTCCCCATCCCCACCTTCTTCATCTCCAGCAGCAACGGCGGCCTCCGCCTGCTTTTCCTCCTCATTTACCCCCTCACGCTGTTCCTCCACCTTTCCATGGCCCGTATGATTCCACACCGCCCCTTGCTCCTCCTCCCCATGATCCTGAACTTCAAAAGCATATTGATAAACTTGCTGAGTATGTTGCCAAGAATGGCCCTGAATTTGAAGCCATGGTCCGTGAAAAAGAGCAAGACAATCCTGGGTACGGTTTCCTCTTTGGTGGTAAGGGGCATAATTACTACCGATACAAGCTTTGGTTATGTACACGCGCCCCTGGTGGCTCCTTCAATCGTGCTTTCCCCTCCTCTTCAATACCTTTGATGCATCATCCTCTCAATCCTATGATAAATCCATCACCTCTAAATGCTTCTCAGTTGAGTTCCTCTGCTGCTGCTATGATGGGTTCACCTCAAATGCAAACTCCTTTTCCACTGTTCTATGAGCCACAACCCCATCTGCATTCTCAGCCTTTTGCCAGTAATGGTCGACCAGACTTTGACCAGTCAACCAGGTCTTTCAAAGGTCTGTCTAGGCCACTGCCTTCTGATGTTGTGATGGAAATGATGTGCTTAACAATCTTACTGGTACCAGAGTCAATCAAAGGTGCCAAAATTTGGTTCATGCAGAGGTCCCCATTTGCACCAGCTCTGGCTGAGGAGCTCAGAGACAGGGTGTTTGCTCTGGATGATTCTGAGAGACAATTGCATATAATTTACCTGGCCAATGACATTCTATTTGACAGCTAATTTTATAGTGCTCGCCATATCTAGAGGAGACATGAATTAAAGTGATGGAGCAACCCTAATATTAGCTGATAGAATGCGATTATTTTATGCTACCTTCAACATTTTCTCCACTTTCCTTCTCTTTTATTATCTTTCTGCATTTATCAATGACTTGATAGCATCTCTATCTATCTCTCCCCCCAACCCAAAACCCCACAAAAAAAAAAAAAAAAAATCCAAACCAAGTTCCCTAATTTTCAATGGCGAATGTTTCTGCTGCCTGTTCTGATGCTTTATTATTTTTAATAGAATGATTTTGAAAAACAAAATGTGTAAAACACTGGTAAATGCTGTGTAATTGTGTGCAATATTCCTTAGAGCTTTGGTCATGAAAAACAAGAAATATCTGATTAACCTAATGAAATTTGGGGTCAGAAACTAAATGCCCAAACAGCTAGGAAAATAATTTAAAGATGGGGAATATTACTTGTTACTGTATGGCATCACATAATTTTGCTTTGTTTGCCCAATACAGGTGCCCTGCATTGACTGGATTTTTTTTATTCTGGCTCTATATATAAATGTTGGGAGAATTCCTTTGCTTAAGATTTCTTGATAATTTAGGTTGTTAGAGTCTTGGCAGCCTCCTTACTTTAATAGTGCCAATGTAATTTGTGGTATAACCTGAGTATATATTTGTTGATTTCTTTTAGATCTTTTTTTCTTGGGTATTTTAACTTATTTGCTTTTGATCTTGAACATTAGAGATACTATTTGAAGATCCTTGAACATATGCTTGTTACACACATTCCAAGATACATATTTCAATACATATGTGTACTTCTATATGTACTTCAAGTCTTTAGTACATATTTATAGGACCACGTGCATAAGTCTACATCTATTACTAAATCTTATGCCCTGGCCTAGTTTGGTCCTTTGTCTAATAACATGTCCGGATGATCCATATCACCTTAAAATTAATGAAACAAAATAGTGTGAAATTGACAAAATACAGGGGTAGATGGTAATAACCTCAATGCATTCATGGAGCCAGGAAATCATCACCCCTATCCTTCTCCAACCTTTTCTCTTTTCCCCCCCTTTTCCCTGTTTCCACTCCCTCTATCCATTACGTATGATCGTCACTCTTTTCTCCTTTATCATTCCATATACTATCTCTCATCCTTAATATACCTTAGCACATAAAAAGATCTTTCATTGGTGACTTTCTTTAATCAATCATTCCTTTTTCTTTTTTTTTAACATATATAGATGACAATTGATCGATATATGTTATTGATACTTGTCCAAATAATCATACAAAAACTTGGTGACATCATCTTCCTTGAATTATTTGATATATAAGTGGAGGAAAACAATCAGGCAAATGCCTCAACGGACATGAAACATTGGCTGATTAATGGGGGTATACATTTTGAGAACTGTAGAGATCAAATTTTTATTACTAGTTGTATGGATTCAGCATATGCTGGTACTTAATGGCTTGGGCAAGTATAATTTCTTTAGCAGGATTACATTGCTTATCACGTATAATTTCTGAAGCAGGGTTAGGTAGCTGCAATTTAAGCTTCCCACATGCACTTAAAGACTAATTAGGTTTTCCTTCCTTATTTGGTTCACCTGTTTAAAATTTATAGCGGGGTTAAGAAACCAGCAATTGGGCCAAATCTGAAAAAAGTCTTCTCTGGTTAGTTACAATGAGCGGAGTAAAGTAGAATTTGCCTAAAAGGAGAAACGCGTTTGTGATTTTCTTTACCTGAAATGTTGCTCATCATTTGTCCTTTACTAAAAGTAAAGAAAAGAGCTGGCTGGCAACTTTTCCTCGATGTTTCCACTTATCAATTGAAATGGTTTTGGTTAGAAAGTGGTGGTAGAAAGCAGAGGCAGGACTTCTGCTGAGAAAGGGCATGGTTTATGTTAATTGCCAATGGAATTTCTGCCGTTATTGGGTAATACCAATAGAATGGTGGGACGTTGTGCAGTCGTGCAATGCTAAACCAGGAGGTTGTGAGTTCGAATATGTCGATAGTGTTTTGGTTGAAAAAATAGCGGAAGTTATGTATCCAGTAGGTAAGGACGGACATTGTCTTGCTAAAGCTATATATGACTTGATAGCTCTTGACAGGAAAGAGTATTGACATACATGAGCTTTTCCTTTGGTACATTCCAAAGTAAGAGGCTGTTACCTGCCTTGTTTAATATCCCAGGGGCTGCTGAATCATGTTATTTTATTTGCATATAAATGAAATAAATGGTTTTGCTGTTGTTTTTTTTCTTTAAACTTGTTTTGTTTTCCTTCTAACAGTGTGTGATATTCATCTACCTTCCTAGATTGTGACAATGATTCTAGCATTTGTTTTGGATACTAAAAATTGTTGATTGAGATGATATAGCCATAGATCTAAGCTCTAGCTTGACCTTGGGGGGTCTGTCAATATTGTGAAACTAGTGCATATTTACCGGTCAATTCGTATTGAAATGTGCAGCTTGCAAAGGTGGATCAACCCTCATGACCTAGATAACGAGGCACTTGCTTTTAAGCCTGTAATAGGTTCCATGCTTTCAAGGATTTACCACAACCCTCAAAATAAGGAGGAAAATCAGTCACAATTACCAAAAATTTTGCAGTTTTGGGCCTCCAAGGAAGTTTATGATCAAGATACCATTCTTGGGCTTGAGAATGAGATGATGGGGGGATCAACAACAAACTTATTTCTTGTGCCTCCAAGGGACTTATCTGCTGTTTCAACAGATCATTTGACCATTTCAGGTATCTCTCTCTCTCTCTCTCTCTCTCTCTCACACACACACACACACACACACACACAATGAGGGACCTAGGAAAGGGCCTACGGGGGGCCATGGCACCAAGAGTAGTGGAAGAAGAAGGTCCATTCCAGTGTGTATAATATGTGCGCTTCTAGTTTTCCATACACCGACTTCGGTCCTGACAGTATCTATTAAATATTGAGATATCACCATAATAATAATGTTCTCCTATTGCTATAATAATAAGATAAGAATATCGTATCAAATTTAATTTTTCAATATTATACAAAAAAAAAAAAAAGAAAGTTATATTTAGCTATTGTAAGAATTATATGGACCAATAAAATAATTAATTTTGCACGTGTCACTTTGTGATTAGACAAAAAAAGATATAGAGTCCCCAAAAAGTAATTTTTGATATACTCTCATAATAATATTAGGTTGTCATCTGTTTTTATTTTTTATTTAAATATGCCCAACTAGAAACCCCTACATAAATTGATTAGACTTGTGCCTACACCACCCATTTCACTTGTAGCTAGTTATACTTGCACTTCTTAGCTTTATTTCAATTTTCCATTTTGCTTTTTTGGTTATGAGTGTTACCATCACTAAACTTTGAAAATAAAATTGCTAAAAAATTGGGACATTTCCAAGCATGGGTAAATCATGTGATAGAAAAAGATGTCGAATATTATTTTGATAAATGAGTAAGAGGATATGCCAAATACTAATGATAGATGACTAAGAGGATATTTAATAAAAAACTATTCATGTAATTTATTTATTTATTTTTTTTTGTTTCCTTTATTCATGGTGTATGTATATTTACTGGTTTGATATATTTTATACATTGCAAATTTGAATTTACCAAGTATAGAGATAGTTCATGTTCTAGGTGTTAGTTTACATACATAGGCTTTGGCCCTTCTCAAGGTAAAATCCCTAGATTCGTCACAACACATACCCATGCATGTACACACTCACTCTGATCCACCATGCTGAGACTTATGGAAAGCTTAGTTACTCTTCGGGGTAATTGGAAAGATCCAGTTTTATAGAGACAAGCGTCCTCTAGAAATATTGGTTTGTTCAGCTCAATAAGCTTGTGAGGATCAGCAGTTGGTCCAATGGCCGCGCCCTGCAGGTTGTTCGCAGGTTCAGACCTTGTTGCCCGCTCCCATTGTAACTCGGACCAGAAAAAACCTCAATAGGCTTGCATATAGTTGGTTGCCAGGATTTTCTTGCTTTAAATTCTTCGAAATCTTTATGCTAAAGTAGACTTATTTTTTATTCACGCAGGACCATCACCCCAGGTGTCAAACCATAATACCTTACAGTGGCAGCCTCATAAGCTAAGTTTGGTGCCAAATTTACCAGATCTAGAACATCCTGATAAACAAGTTTCTCCCCTAGCAGCCATGCCACCATCGGTAGCAACACAACAATTTCTTCCTAATTCAGTTCCTTCTGGTGGTTTTGTTGGGTCCTTGCCAATCCCATCTTCCGGTCAACAAGCAAATCAACAACCTGCGTCCCATATATTGCCAGGACCGACTGCTAATGTTGGTGAAAAATTACCTCCATATCCTTTGTTTCCACCTGGTCTTACTCCTGAAATGGTCAGAAAAATGCAGATCGGTAGTGGGGTGCCTTACTCTCCCATGAGCCCTTTGGATATCCCTACTGTAATACCACCCTCCAATGTATCTCAATCTGAAATTCTTGAGAGTGTCAAAATTCTTTAAAGAGATTGGAGAGGTTAACCCTTCTGAAGGACCCATGAAACCTTCCGAATTAATCGATGAAGATGATGAGTATGAGAGAGAGCCTCCCATTTGCAAGGGAGGAGCTTGCATCCCTCCCCCACCTAATTTACAAGTGGCCCCTGAAACAGGAACTTTTGCTGATGGAAGTGTAGAACAGAAGCCTGGATCAACTAGCTCAGGATGGTTGGGACTTGGGGCCACAGCTAATCCAAATGAGGCCAGTCAATATGATGATGTTTATTATTCTTATAGGAAACAGAGAAGTATCAATTACCATACGTCTATGAGTGCAAGAGCTGCTGCTACAAGGTAAAAACTGGATGAATGTGTGATCAATTGTAGTAAAAAATTGGAAACTTGGGTTTCTGACAAGGTTGGTTCTTGCATTTCCTGCTTGCCTTTTCTTTCTGCACTTGAGTTGGAATTATCAGAAATTAAATTTGTGGGATCATCAGTATTATATCTTCATGGTTATTAAGGTCCTGATTTAGATGAATGATTGAATGCCAATCCAGATATGCATTATATGTGGTGATTATCTTTGTATTTCTGACTGGATCGCTTGACATTTGGTGTTGCATTTATATTCTACCTCTCCATAGAAATGAGACGACCCCCCCCCCCCCCCCCCCCCCTCTCTTTCCCGTGGTTAGAGATCTGAGCTTAAGTCCAGGTTGGGAAGGTGCTATGTAGGAAAATATTCCCTAAACCCTAGGAGACGCAAGCAGGTATAATAGGAAGTAATTCCCCTAGATACCAGAGTCCGGTGAACGACTGATTTTTTGGGCAAAACCATGTCGGCAAATTCACATGTAGCTGTTGTAATGTTTGCACTTGATCAAGCAAAAGTTATACTGCCTACTGTACCCAATTTATGAAGCAGATATGCTGTTTTTGGGCAGGCCATGGCAAAGTTGTCAGTAGTTATGGCAATTTTAAAATCAATCCATTAACTTGACACGTAATCAATATGGAATTAGTGGGCTTGAGTTTAGTTTTAATGGATTCAGATAATAAACAGTTGGATTCATTAAACTTGATATATAAATGGGTCGGTACAAATCCATAAAAATAATATGTGAAACACGAAAATGCACGTGGGTCTCCTTGAAGAACAAAGTCTAAGGTATGGAAAGAGTGGATTTCTAGTTGTTCTACTTGGATGTTGGCATGGCTGTACCCCATTGCTGGTTGAGGCTCGGCCTGACTCCGTTTGCCTCTATTTTTCATGTCAAGCGTACGAGTGTAGTTTCGTGGGATTGACTTCTAAAAACAATAATAAATTTTCGTCTCCTCTGCAAGACCGTGTATAAGTTGACTTTCAATTCATGGTTATGCACAGCACCAACTTGGCTAGATTTCATTATAAGACAAATAGGTCAGTATGAGTTGAGCAAATATTGACATAATATGACTTAGAGATGTCACAAATTTGACATGACGTAACTTACCGAGAACTAAATACAAAAATATTCCAGATAGTTGCTTGCGGATGACCCTTCACTTGCTTGGCCATGGTTGTTGCACGGGTGATTTTCTGTAATAGTTTGAGATAGCTTGTCTCAATGTGAACTTGAATGAGATTCGTGAAACAAGGAACGAAGTCAGAAAAATTGTTTGCAACGGCAATTTAGCATACATACCTATGTTTTATTTCATTGGGCTATTTATACTTTCAAATATGATGACATGACATCTACTCGCATACCCAACTTAGACTTGACAGCTTATGCAATAAGTGCTCCCCATCATGCCTCATTAATGCTCAGTGATATGACAGAGTCAAGCTGGATACTCGAGAGTGGCCGAGTATTTATGACTTCTCGCCTCGCAGACACCAAGTCATCTCGAACATCAAGTGTTGTACGTCAAATACTCGCAATCTATCACCGAGTATTGGAGGCTATGTGCCAAGCATTTAATTGGATACCCCCGAGTAAGGATTATGCCTTGTCTTTCTGATTGCTCAATGTGAGTTTATTACTGATGAGGTAACAAGGATAACTAGTCACATCATCAATTTGTACCAAACGCACGACCGAATGACAATTAATCTTAAGGGAACGTCTACGGTACCGATTGGTCAAAATTTGGTACCGTACCAAAATTTGATGGGAGCCGTTGATGTTCTGCTCATTAGTGCACAACCATTGATCTGATTTTTTTTTTTAATTTTTTATCAGCACATTTTTGTATGTGGAAACCTATAACTTGCGCAGCCAATCAGTAAAAGGATTAATAAGATCGATCTTGCATTTACATGATCGATCTAAATTGATTTTTTTTTCTTTTTGATTGTACTTATATTACAACCTTATTTATTTATTTATTTATCTTTTTTTTTGGGGACGGGGGAAGGTCTTGCCTATGGGGGAATGGTGAAATTGGGATCAATTATAAAGAATAATAAGCAATAAGACTGATCGTACATTAAACTGATCGTTCAAATTTTTTTTTTAAATGTTACAATCTTACTGGGGGGGAGCGTATTGTTTACGGGAGAATGAGAACATTGTGATCGATCATACAGAATAATGAGCAATAAGATCAATCGTACATTAACATGATTGATCAATAAATATATATATATTTTTTACTTATGTTACAACCTTACTGGGGGGGAGGGTATTGTTTATGGGGGAAAGGGGAAATTGGGATCGATCCTTATTGTATATGATCGATCCTAAATGGATATACATTTGCATTCAGAAGATCAAAATAGTGAATTGTATAATCGATCTTAATTATTTAAGATCTATCTAAAGTATTTGTTCGATCAAAATTATGTACGATAGATCTTAATATTTAATGTATAGATGGACATTAAAAGTAATGTTACATTTTTGTAGGAAAGATTACAATTTTTATTAGTAGGTTTATTGATGTAATGGGCAAATGTATGAGTTTACAGGTGATGTGAGGTAAGTTATATATTAATTTGTAAGGTTATCTATAATAGAGGGAAAGTTATTACAAATAATGGTGGAATTACTCCAATCAATGGCAGTAGAGGTAATCGGTATGGGTGAGGTTATAACATATTGATGAAAGATTGCTACATGTTGATGTAAGGTTACAATTTTTAAAGGGAAGATGACAATATTAAAAATAAGGTTAACAACTAGTTAGGCTAAGTTACGGATTGAAAGGTAATTGTATCCACTATTGAAGGAAAGTTACAATGTATAAAGATGAAATTATGGCTGTCAGTGGCAAAGAGGTAACCTTTAGGGGTGAGGTTATAACATGGAGAGGTAAGGTTACTATGTTTATAGGTAGGATTACAATTTTAATAATAGGATTACCACCTATTGAGGTAAAGTTACCAATTGAAAGAAAGTTAAGTTTATCTTTTAAAAAGGAACACTTACCATGCATACAGGTAAAAATTACTCTTGTATGTGGAAAAAAGGTATTTGTATTGGGTGAGGTTATAACAAATTGTTGTCAGGTTACTACATGGAGAGGTAATGTTGTAATATTTAGGGGTGAGGTTAAAGCATTTTGTAGTAAGGTTACAACAAGTTGATGTAAGGGTACTACATGTTGATGACAAGTTAGTACATGTTGAGGTTAGATTAGTACCGTTAGAGGTATGATTACCACTCGTAATAATAAGGTTAACACCAATGGAGGTAAAGTTACCTATTAAAATAAAGGTAAGTTTATCGACTAAAATGGAAAACTTACAATGGATTAAGGTAAACTTACTCCAGTCATTCGGAAAGTAGTAACCTTAAGGGGTGAGGTTATAAGAAAGGATAATTAAGATCGATCGTACATTCATATGATTGATCAAAAAAAAATTTATTTTTATTTTTATTTTTTATGTTACAACCTTACTTGGGGGGTTAATCCATCTTGCCTATGGGAGAATGGGGAAATTGGGATCGATCATAAAGAATAATGATTGATCCTAAATGGATTTACATTTGCATTGAACATCCACAAAATATTGAATGGAATGATCGATCTTAATTATTTAAGATCTATCTCAAATATGACTAAAGGATTTTTACACTTCTGTTGAAGGAAATGTGAATCCCATCATCATGTACAATGAAATGAATAAAAAATTATTTTCCCTCCCACTTATATTATCCCACCCAGATGATCCCGCCACAAGCAGTCTTCCCTTCATCACTATGGTATACTCCACAAAGTCGTTCCAAACGAAGGGCGACGACTGTAAGCGATGCTGGAGCACTCCATTGTTGTTGTTAGTCGCGTTTGACGGTAGTTTGATACATTATAATCGTGCATGTGCATTCGATTGAATCAATATCCATGTAAGTACCGATATCCTTTTTTTTATATGGTTTGTAACATTGGGACCTATTTAAGGTGTAATAGAAGACATATTATACTCAGGGTAAAGAAGATGTCTATTGAATGTAAAAGGGATGCAAATAAAATACATCGGTCATCAACTGCCTGGATTTATTACTGGTGAGTCAGTGGATATTTGCCCTAATGATCAACCTGGATGTAGTACCATCGATCTATGAATGTTAAAGATATAAGTTCAAATTTGAACATATCATTGGAGAATGTTAAAGATGTAGGTTAAATCTTTAACATTTGTCCTATGCAACAAAGATAGTTTAAAGAGAATAGAAGGTGTTGACGAAGTGAAAAAAAAAATGAGGTATGTATATTTAACGTGTTAGTATTTGTAATTTCGCGAAGTCATGTTTATAAAGTGTAATGGAAGTAATTTCAGGCAATGAAAGATTGTGTTGTGCAATGCCGTAAGATGATTGATGTTGAGAAACGAAAATACATAGAATTGGCGAATTCATCAAAGTTGGAATACGAGCATTTGAAAGGAAACATGAAGAACTCCAATGGGGTAATTTGAATTTTTTTTTGGAAAGGCATATATATGTGCACTTATACATAGAAAACAATACATAATATGTATATATATTTTTTTTATATTATGAAGGTGAAGCTAGGTACAAGATGTTCACCAAACATGGTTATGAAGATAATAGAAAAGTTAAGTGAAGAACAAAGACGTAGCGTTGAAGAAATTGGTTTTGGGGGGGGGGGGGGGGTTAAACCTTAAATGTAAACAAATAAAGAGAGATTTGTGTGCATGGTTAGTGGAGTGCTTTGATCCGGAAAGCTGTGCACTCAATGTGTATGGAAAATCGTTGAAGTTCTTTCATGTAGATGTTGAGTTGATAAGGGGACTGAGAAATGAAGGGGCAGATGTGGAGAGGAGCGGGCCCCCTGATAGAATAATTGAGGTATGTGAAATTGTTCAAGGGACTCAAGGTTATTCCCTTGAAAGTTCTGCAGGATAGA